CTTCGTTATAAAAAAAATAACGAATTTTTAACGAATTACGAAATTACGAAACGAAACCGCCCAGCCCTAGTTCCTATCGCTGCCTCATTGCGCAGTCCCAAAGGCTCGGTCCCACAGCCACGTTTTTATCATCCTTCTGAAGGAGAACAGGGAGGGGGCTGGCCTGACCTCATTAGGAGGGACTTCCATAGCCGAGGGGCAATCACCGAGAAGGCCCTGATTTCCGAACATGGCTTTTGGAGCAACCTGTCAACATTTACAAGCGAGGTGTTTATAGCTGCTTAAAAAGATGGGAGAAGTGTGTCCCGAGGTGGCACCGAAGGAGAGAAGGACTCAGAACTGGGCCAAGTTTCGTGGCTCTCCGTCCACAGGAAGGGGGTCAGGGGAAAGCTTTAACCAACGGCTCTCATAGTTCAAGCATACAATGCATAGCAATAAAAAGCAGTTTTAAACGAGTTCCTTTTTCAAATAGTGCAGCGCAGCCCTTTGGCTAAATCCTTTTCAATCCTCTGTTGGAGCAAGGACCTGATTGATGCAGTTGAAGTGGTAGGATCCTTAGGGGCAAGTGACCATGTGCTCCTGCAATTTGAGGTACAAAGGAAGGCCGAAACTAAGACAAGTCAAACCCGCATTTTGGACTTTAGGAGAGCTGATTTCCGAAAAATGAAAGAAACACTGTGCAGCATTCTAAAAGACAAGGGAGTTACGGATTGATGGGAATTTCTCAAGAGTGAAATGCTCAAGGTGCAATTGCAAACTGTGCCCACCAAGAGAAAAAATAGGACAAGTGCACAGAAGCCAGAATAGATGTCCAAAGAACTTCTAACTGTGCTAAGACACAAAAGAGACACGCACAAGAAGTGGGAAAAGGGAGAAATCACCAAAGAAGAATTCAAACAAATAGCCAACACCTGTAGGAAAAAGGTCCGCAAGGCTAAAGCACAAAACGAGCTCAGGCTTGCCAAACAATAAAAAGGGCTTCTTTTCTTAGAAAAAGTAGAAAAAGGAAAAACAAGGAGGCGATAGGGCCTCTTCAAGGAGAAGATGGGACAATGCTGACAGGGGATGATAGGGAAAAGGCAGAACTACTTAATGCCGTTGGGTAAAACAGAGGAACAAGGTGGATCCAGAAGGGCCCGCGAAGGAGGACGCCTTCTCTGTTGTGGCCCCAGGGTTCTGATCCTAGCAACCATACGGAGTGGTGGGCGAGGTGGGCTCTGTGGAGGTGGACCAATACTCAGCCATCTTGTCTGCTTCCTTTGGAGAGAAATTGTGACATCCCCACTCCCAGTGATTCAGTGCATGGAGACTGGTGCGGAAAGAGAACGGCAGCTCGA